AAGAACGGAGGAGGGGAAGAGGGAAGGGGGGGAGGAACAGAGCAACAGGAGGGGAAGGGGAGGGGGGGGGGGGGGGGGGGGGGGGGGGGGGGGGGGCAGTAAAATGAACAAAAAGAAAGAAGCATGTGGAATGTGTAGAGTTGGACATGTAAAAATGGTAATGAATAGAAAATGGACAGAGTGGAAAAAGGAGGGTCAGGAACAAACGGAAGTTGGAATAAAGCGGGGAAAAAGAAGTGAGCAGGGGAGCAGGAAAAATTAGCTGTCTGTTTCTATAGCGCTCATGGGAACCTCATTTTCTGCACTGTCTAATTTAAATAAAAGGCTTTTGGATGAAACCTAAATGTATGTTTTTGTAAAGGGGGCACACAGTACTACTTATTCCCAGTGGGCTCTTAAACCCAACACCACATGGATTCAGTGTATTTTATGGAACAGACAAAAACTTAGATCTAGAGACACAAAGGCATCAACACGTGTCTGAATTCTTCTGGATATATGTGTAAGATTTCTCTTTCATAAAGATAATCAAATTTGAACATGCCATGGAGAAAAATACCGATGTATTATGTAAATGTCAGAAAAAAAACAAAACCAACCAGCTATGATTTTTTTCTGCTGAAAAGGGTGTACAGTATGTTTTCACTCATTTAATAATGTTTTGGACACATTCAAATATCACTGTGGTAACAGAATATCTACACAGACAAATCCTTGGGGAGCCTCATGCATCATTCTTGATGTGCTGTACATAAAACCCTGACTTTTCTACCATATAAAAATGGATCTTCTATTCTTTTATTCACTACCACCTACTGAAAATAACTTTCTGTAATCAGAAGGCGACAGCATCTTCTCACGTGGACAGAAAGGAATTTGCATTTCCACTGACCATTTAAAGAGAAATAATCAGTTTGAGGGGTTCTGGTCAGGGTTTAGAGCTCATCCTCACTTGTCCTGTTAGAGCTCAGTGCTGCATTTGATGCAATCACAATATTCTAAAGGCAGTATAAAGTATCATCAACAAGGTCCTGGGTTCAATACCTGTTTTGGACCTGGGGTCTTTATGTGGTGAGTTTGCATGTTCCCATCACTGACTATGTGGGTTTCATCTCACAGTCCAAAAACATGCATGGCAGGCTGCCTTCAGGCTCAGGCCTCCATTCAAAAAGACATCTGTGATTTCAATGGGATTTGCCTGGTTAAATAAAGGTTAATAATTGGAGAGCAGTGGTACAGTGGTTAGAGAAGGCGAGCCTGTGATTGGAAGGTCCTTGATTTGACTCCTTGGACCGACAACATCAAAATGTGGGTGGGAAAGGTGAAACACTCACAGCTGCCTCCACCCTCATTCGTCCCACTCTGGGCCCTTGAGCAAGGCCCTTAACCCCCACCATCTGCCCTCAGGCGCCCTACATGGCAGCTCTCTGCTCCACACAGAGGGCTGTGGTAGCTCAGTGGTCTGTGGTTGTGTCAGGAAGAGCATCTGGCGTAAAAACTACAAGTCTGTGCGCGAGTTAGTTCGCTGTGGCGACCCCTGAAGAAGGGAGCAGCCAAAATAATAAATAAATAAAAGGTTAATAATAACAAAGGCAGTTTGAACACAAATCTGGGATTACCAGAGCCATTCTAAGATGGTTTAAAACATATTTAGAGTGCATCTCGGGGATACATGATTATCTTTTGAGAACAATTTAAAGTTCACATTTAGACACAAAAAAATATTTGTGATAGAAAGCAATCTACATTAAACAAGAAAGGTCAACAAGTCACCGCTTTAAACTAATGTTGTATTAAATCTGTTAGTTTCACACCATTCTGCACTTTTATGCATCTGACTAAAACTTATCTTAATTAAACCAACAAAAACTCCAACGCATCTCAGGAAGAAGGCGAAGAAGAATGATTTGCATGTGAGTTCAGGTCATATAATGGTATGTAATGGCGGCTGTGGCTGAGTGGTTAAAGCAGTCGTCCTCCAATGGGAGAGTTGGGGGTTTGATTCCACCAGCAGTCACATGCTGAAGTGTCCCTGGGCAAGACACTGAACCCCTCATTGCCTCTGATGTGTGTCCCATCGGTGCATGAATGTGATAAAGCTCTGATTAGTTTCTACAGATTCACATTATCTTTGTAGAGATGTAGAGTGTTGTATGAATGTGTGTGTGTGGAGGTAAATGAGGGCACAGATTGTGTTGTAAAGAGCTTTGAGTATCTTGATTAGAAAGAAAAGAGCTATATAAGTACAGTCCATTTATATAAACACAGCACCTCATTTTAGTTTTATAGTTCAGAACCCTGAATTGTTCTACTTGAAATGACAAAGTTCTTTGGATGAGCAGGGAAATGTCTTTAAACAAGAAAACAAGTCGAGTTGCCTTTTTTGGATTATTAGCATTTACCATGTCCTGGATAACTGAGCATCTACACCACCATGTTTCAACCATGGAACTTTAGCATCGTGACTGGAGTTCTCTTACCAGATGTCTATCCTTGATATCTCCTGCTGTGAGAAGTCTTCTTCAGCCACAGCAATAAGGGCAGTCTTCATCTACTCATGCACCTTTCATTTCAAAACTTTATGAACATAAGCCAGTGTTTAAACCTAATGATTAGGACTCATCCAGGTACAACGTTAGTTTGGATGTAAGGTCTTACCTGTCTCACAGTGGCGTCCTGTAAATCCTGAGGGACATACACATGTATTTGGAGACACACAGGTCCCTCCACTTCGACATCCCTCCTCACAGTAGGCTGGTAAAACAAAGTGGAAACAAAGTTAGTTTACTGTTCTGTAACTAGTATATAATAGTATAACAGCTTGCAGCAGTAGCATAAAAAGGATTTGAACATGTGTCGTTTAGGACTTTGCAAAGGCATTCCAAGGTGCAAAGTGGTTTCCTCAGAGGTTTTCTAAAAGAAGCTTGGAAAGTGAATATGGAGATATTTTCTTTGTACATGAGCTTAAAAAGGTTTATTTCCATTTGCTGTATCCATGTAATCATGTAACTTTAAAGCCCAACTCAAAATATACATTTTTCCTTTGGTTTGTTTTACATTTTCTTTCATGTTTGGGAAGATTTTTTTTTCTTCTTCCATTTCATTTTAATAGATAACAACGGGTTGACAAATATAAAACTATCACAATAAACATAATTAAAAGCTGATAAATATTTTTATGAAAGAAACATGACAAATGAGACAAACAGCCACTCACACTCTCAACCACACCAAGAAACGATTTAGAGTTACCAGTCAGCCTAACATGCATGGTTTTGGTGTGGGAGGAAACCAGGGTGCTCAGAGAAAATCCAGGCATGCTCAGAGAGAACAAGAAAACTCCACCCAGAACGGCCCCCGACCAGGATTTCATTCGGCAACGTTCTGGCTGAGAGGTGACAGCTCTACACACTGATCCACCATATTGCAAGGGAACAGTGCTAACCAGATGTGCAGCCATGCAGCTTCTGATCGGACAGTTAAGTTAAATTTAGATGGCCAAGATGCAACATTTGAAGTTCACTGCTGGAAGAGTGATGAATGCAGCTGAACAACCTTCGTGTCTGAATTTGTAAAATTCCACTGAGATGGACATTAAGTCTGTTTTTTAGAAGTTGTACTTCTCAACATTTTTTAAAGGGCATTTGTTGAAACAAATAAATAAATAAATACACTGACAGATTCTTACACAGTGATAAACTTTGATTTTTGCATGAGCTATAGTCTGCTCTGGCAAAACAAAGAAAAGAAAACTTGCGTTAAAACAGTGGGTCCTAACCCTAGTCCTTGAGGAACACCATCCTGACTGCATGTTTTAGTTGTTTCTCTGCTCCAGCACACCTGATTCAGTGGTTTAATTACTTCCCTAAGTTTGGCAGAAGCCTGTTAATCACCCTTTCATGCAAATCATTTGTGTTGGAACAGCGAAACAACTTAAACATGCAGGATGGTGTTCCACAGGGACCAGGATTGGGAACCATTGCGGTAAAAAATAGTGACCTCAAAGTTTTGTTTTATCAAAGCAGATTAAAAAAAAATGTTGGGATGAAGAAGCAAAGGTAATAAATTACATCATTTTTTATGATCATAATGATGAGAATTTGAATTATTTCATTCATTTCCACAGTCACCGACATAACATGAATTTGTCCCAGTATGGACAAATATTATTAGTGAAGTTGACAGGACCAGACATTTCCATGGCACAATACAAGCATCCCCTTCATTTTCTGCAGCTCATTTTTAATTAAACAGAATGCAATGTTTTTGTCTGTTTATTATTATTATTATTATTATTATTATTTGTAAATCTACATGCCTGACACATTTACAGCAAACCAAATAGGTATGTTGAGGGGCGTATCAAAAATGGCAAACATGAACAGGAAGTGTATAAGTGCTCAAATTGAGAAGAATTAAACCCAACATATAGGGCAAATCTAATTGAGAAAGTTCATTAAAGAAAATGTATGTAGTATTTCTAAGCCTAATTAATGACATGTTTTAGGAGATGAGCCTTAATGGGCTGAAAAATCTATTCATAGTCGCATACCAAGTGTGTAAGTATCTGTGTGCAGCAGCTTGTTTTGAATTAGTTTATGATACCAAAGAAAAACCATTTGTCTGCATAAATTAATACTACTGATGTTTGGAAATGAAGAAAAACAAAAAAACACTAAATATACAAACAAATGTAAGCCATAAATAAAAGCAAAGTCTTTTGCCAGAGGCTATTAGAGCTATTAATCTGACTGGTTCCACTGTGCAAGAACTTTTATCAGGCTCTCATTAGGAGCCCAATTGCCTCAGTACTAATAAACTTCACTCTTATAAATTAATTACACTTATATTGACACAATCTATCTCCAGCTCCAATTATCATTTGAACATCATCAGCGAAATGCTGCCTGCTTATTGAACTAATGACTTCAAAAGATGAAGGGGCACCACTGGGCCATCACCGGGGGCGGGGGTGCAGCGGAGCTGAGAGGAAGATCATTCTTTCCCAAAAGCCCAAGTTTACAGTTACTCTTACAATCTCATTCTTGTTAAGAAATGTCATTTAAATTACCGCCACTGGGGTAATATAATTCTTCGTGCACATTCACACTTGTCATAATGCAATAATTCAGTAATAATAATTCTACAGGCAATTATAAGGCAAATTAATATGCAACTCGCTGGAAATAAGTCATATGTTGGATTACATTAAAAGTAGAATGTATGTAATGAAATTAGTTTTTTTTATTTTAAATAAATTCAAATGACTGAAAAGACTGTTGTAATACTGTAGTATGCTGAACATAGAATGGGCTGCTGTATCTCAGAGGTTAGTTTTTTGGTCTTATAATCCGAAGGCTGCAGGTTAGAGCACATGCTGCTTCAGGAATAGAATCTGGAGTGAAACAATAACCACGTTTTGTTCACTCACTGTGGAGAAGGGAACAGCCAAACGGAAAACAACACTGAACATAGAGTGGCGCAAATTTACTTAGCGCAACATCCATGTTTTACTCTATCCAAATTTAAACACAGTGCATTTTGACAGAAAAACTTCAAGCCACAAGTAAAAGCATAAAGTGTTACTGTTGTCCATTTGAGAGAAATGCATTTAAATACAAAATGCATATCCTGTTGTATAAAGAACAACTTTAAAACAATTGGTAGAGTTTGATAAAGCATTTGTAATAACTTGAACAGTGACTGGTTAATTATATCTACAGTATTAAGTATTTCCTGATGCATGCTCAATAATCCAGATAGATACATTTAACCAGGTTAAGACATGTCGTCTGGACGGATTTTTCTTGTTGAAACGTTTTCGTCGGACAAAAGACAAAACGTTTCAACAAGAGGAATCCATCTAGAAGACCTGGCTTTACCTTGTTAGAGTACTAAGTCTTGTTATATTCTGAAAACTATATAGAGTTAACATTTTCTAAATAAGGGCAGCACGGTGGTGCAGTTGGTAGAGCTATCGCCTCTCAGCGAGCAGGCTGCACCAGTTCAAATCCCGGCTGGGGGACTTTAGTTTGCATGTTCTCTCCGTGCATGCGTGGGTTTTCTCTGGGTACTCCGGTTTCCTCCCACAGACCAAAAACATGCATGTTGGGCTGATTGGTAACTCTAAATTGTCTCTAGGTGTGAGTGAGAGAGTGAATGGTCGTTTGTCTCATTTGTCTCCATGTGTCCTTGTGATGGACTGGAGACCTGTCCAGGGCGTCCCCCGTCTCTTACACAGTGATGGCTAGACATAGGCATCAGTGATTTTCTGAATGAATGCATGTCACTATAGAGGCACTATAGGCAACAAGGGATTTTTGAAAAGTTAAATGGACTGCGCTTATATAACGCCTTTCTCTATTATCAAGATACACAAATCGCTTTACAACACAATCATTTACCCGTTCATACAGCACTCTACTATATCTGTACAAAGAATAATCAGGGTTTTATCACATTCATACACTGATGAGACACACATCGGAGGCAATGAGGGGTTCAGTGTCTTGCCCTGGAACACTTCAGCATGTGACTGCTGGTGGAATCGAACCCCCAACTCTTGCATTGGAGGACGACTGCTCTAACCACTCAACCACAGCCGCCCCAAGCTGGCCTCTGGTTGTTTGTCTTCACTGGGTGGAAAATCTTATCTTGAAAAATGATGGGATTTTAAGCCCTTTGGGACAAATCTTGAAAATAACATTATGCACAAGTAGATGCAACATTGCAACATTCGTTAATACCCAAAATGTGTGTTGGGACTGGATGTCAGCAAATACAACACCAAATTTTAGACTGTGTTTTGACTAATGTTAATTAGATTGTGTTGGGTTTATGCCTAAATTTACTGGTTAAAAATCCAAATCCTAGATTTACTTTCTATGAAAGTTGTATTAAAATGTGTTGAGTGGTTCACAAAACAATTTGCATTTAGACATAATTTTGGTCAAGGTCATGGACATTTATCACTAACTAATGTTAAATTAATGTTGAATGGTACATGTCACCATGTGTGTGAGTTAGCAGAGAGAGCTGGATGACAAGCTGATTTGAGGCTGCAGGCATAGCCGGTACTCCAAGGTTGCCTCCAACTCTGTGAGCTTGAAGAGCTGATAAATGACATAAAAACAATTCTTGCACACCGCCCATGGCAGATTCTTATGACCGGGCTTCATAGAGACATCTGCGTACTGCCCTTGCAAGTAAAAACAGTTAAATGTCTTCTCGTGTCCTCGCGTGACTTCTTTTAGTAATTAAGATGAATAGATTATATTTTTATCCAACAAAAGTCTTGCACAATGAGTAGCATTTAAGATATGTACTTTCAGCTACAAACACACAAAGAATTAGTTAAATTATAGAAATGTAAGTGTTTTTTTTATGTTCGGTTGACTGTGGCAGCCATCTTGAATTGGGTTGGCTTGTTCTTATCCAGTCAGTTTTCCCTGAATATCACATTCAAGTTTATATAATGATTCATGGTATATTTTGGTAACTAACAGACACACAAGCACACACAAGCACACACAAACACACACCAAATGCTGTAAACAAATCAATTTGATTGTAATTTTTTTAAAAGCTCAGCCCTGATTGATCATCTTCATTTTATTGATTTTTTTTTTTATCGCCAATCATGGCACATCCTGCAATACATAGGCTTTGAATTGAAGGGGAAAGAGAAATCTTTACAAATCTTCAGGGATGTTGAACAGCTGTTTTTCCAGCCACGTGTGTTTGCACGAATTTTT